ATTGTACATAATTGTCACATAAAACAGCATAAATCTCGTGTGAATATATTATTCGCGTGACCGAGGTAAAGAAAGGTTGGATGAAGAGGTGCAAAATTCTCGTGTCTATTTCAGTACTATAGTGAACCTAAATCATGTACCGTAAATCAAGAATTCGAAGAGATAAAGTTGTCGATGGATTATTGTAGTGAACCTCTTAGCGAAACATCCACTTTGGAAGTAAATAAATATATTAAAAGGCTGAAAGTCAAAAAATCCTCTGGTTTTGGTCAAATTTCAAATTTTATGCTAAAATTAATATCATTTGATTATGTCGAGTGTTTATCAAAATGTTTTGATAACTGGGTTTCCTCCAGTAAATTCCGTGATATGTGGAAATCGATTACACTACACTCTAAAAAATGTGGGTAGATCAAAAACGGAAAATGATTTTTCATTTCGAAAGGATCACGAACCTTTTTTGGTTTATGAAAATAGTCTAAAAACCCTTCAACACAACCCATAACAGTAGATTAATAATAAAAATCATTTTCCGTTTTTGATCTACCCACATTTTTTAGAGTGTAGTAATCCTGAATAAGCTGAAAACTGGCATACCAACATGTAATCAGACGAGACTAATATCACTGTTATCTACCCATTCAAAGATTTACGAAAAGATCCTTTTGAGTAGAATAAAGGAATGGGCAGATAAAATTTTTATTCTGCCCGGAATAGTCAAGATTCAGAGCTAAATGTCTGTTACGGACAAGCGTGTTAACCATACACCAAACGATTGATAATAATTTATGCGCTAATGTACCATCATTAGCTATCTATGTCGACTACAAAAAAGCATATGGTAGAATTGTTCATGAGATTTTCATCATAAGATTATTTAAACTGGAGATGCCACTTAATTTACTTCGCGTTGTCCGGAACTGGCTGAGGGTAGAAAAGGAAATCATCTTTGCGAATTGTAAATCAAGATTGTTTGTGATTAGAATCGGACTACTCAAGGCAGCTCAGAAAATTTTCCAACACTCAATCGATCACAAGCAACCGATAAACTTATTTATAACGGTATATCAATAACATTTTGAGAGTTTATGGGCAAGGTTAAGAATAAGAATTGTTTTAGTTTTAAAATTTTTATTAAAACTTCTATTAAAATTCTTAACATGATAGCCGCAATTATTCTTATATTGATTTGATTTAAGCTTTTAATTCTTACATTCTTACAGTATATCAAATCTTCCATAATCAAATTAGAAGATCCACAGTCTCTCTCTATATGGCGAATGTCCAGCTGAAGCAAGTTAAGATCTTTAAATATGTAGGATTTTCTTGGACGGATAAATTGTCCTTTAAGTCGGCAGTTATAGAAACAGGAAGTAGTATTCAAAAGTCGTTTAGTAAGTAAATGTTGATATCAACTAGCAAGGAAGTCTCAACGACATTAAACAGAAAATGCTTCTTTGCCTACTCTTTCCCGTTCTTTTCGTGGTTATTTCCCATCTACAAGTTTTCACCTAAAACATACGTACAATTAACTACTGAATAGAAAATTTATAGTTAGTATAAGACTGGTGCACAGATGTTCCTGCGTTGAGGCCGATAAGGTTTTGGGGTTATGCAGGAGAACAACTTAGAATTTTACATCTCAAAGTGTATGAATAGAAGGCTCTAACAATACAGATATTGCAAATTCCTCTCTACTCGAGGACATCTTTTATTGGGATAAATAAAGCAATAAATAAAACACTAAATATGGATTAATACTTTTACATGAAAAGAGTAAAGAAACAACTAAATACTCGCGACAGTGTGTTAGCTGTATAGATTAAATTTGTGGTTACACAGGAAACTGCTTAAGTTAAAATCCTGTAGCATTAAGTTTTTTATGTATTTGGTCCAGTAGTGTCAAGAAAGGTAAATAGTGAAGATTTTTCTGTTTTTCTTCCCATAGCCGGTGTTGTTTTTCTGTTTTCCTTTTTTCTCTTTTATTTTTCCCTTTTTGTTCAACCTGTATTTCTTAAATTGTATGGAATCATATGTAGATTTTCTTCTCTTTTTTTATCCTGTTGTTCTTTATTTGTATACCCATCTCCTTTTGTTTTTCTTGACATTAGTAACAGTCTACGGGCTTGACAATAAACTGTAACGATAAGCCAAAACAAAACAAAAAATGACATGATTGAGAAGTATGAGGTCACCTCTCTCTTGCAAATTTCAACGAAATTAGTTGACTAAATAATTAATGCATGATTTTTTCTGTATAACTGAAAATTCTTGAAACATGCAGTTCTACGCAGAACTGAATTCTCCGGTAATGTATCTTTCCGTTTGTCATGTTTATATGACATTCGCAAACAAATCACCCTTCGTTTGACTTTTAGGTTACATTGTTGCACATTTTTTTCAATTCATTAGGTATCATTATAGAAAAATTTCGGTTCCATATCATAAAGTGGAAATGGAATAGAAATTGTTGTACATTTCCGTTGTTATTTTTCTAACACGCACACAAGAACAGTTTAATGCAATACAGAGAGAATTACTATCGCATTTTTTGGAATCTTTTTTAAAATCAGAAAGTATCAGTTCTTATTTAGTAGATAGTTCTAGAACCCCTTAAATGTTGATTACAAATACAGAAAATTGTCGAAACATTCTTTCTACTTTCTGTTTGCCAATAGAAATGTCAAGCACAAGGAAAATTCTTACACTAACTCTTATAAACCAAAATATGAGCTTTACGATATATATATATATATATTAACAGTAGACATGAAAAAAATCAAAATATCACAACCGGATATAGAGTTAGCTATTTGTAGAGAGATTATTATTAAACAAACCAAAGATGCTGTTCTTCGACATAGAGAAAAGTGCATCAGTTTTTGCCAAAGAAAAAAGAGAGAAGAACTCAGCATGTCTTCGATTGTGTAACTTGATGATTAGAATCTACTATATCCTTGATGATACAGAAAAAGAACTTTTTTTGCTTCTTCTCCTTATCGTGATGATTATGATCATGATGATGATTTTCCGATAGAGAAGAAAAAGAAAGAGAAGCGTGACTCGTTAACGGTTGATTAAACAACAAATTCGTCGGTTGTAGAACGAGAGAACGAGAAAGAAGTGCAATCTAATATGTTTACAATGTGATATATCTCAAAATCGCGACATTCCTATAAATCTCACTACTAAGTGATAGAGATTATCGAAATGAGTCTTTTTCTTTGTTACTCAAAAATAATAGGATAATGTCAATGATATCGAAGAAAAACGAAATGTTTTCCTCTCTTCATTGTTGCTATTGCTCAACTTCCATCAACAGCTGCAGAATAGATATTAGAACCCTCTTTCTCTCTCTCTCTCTCTCTCTTTCTCTTTCTCTCTTTTTCTCTTTCTTTCAAGTTCTAATAACTTATACATCTGAGATTTTAACACAAGTGTTACATAGAAACAGAAACGAAAGAAAGAATTTGAAAGATTATCGATTAGACAAAAAAGGAAAAATCCATCTCTAAATGTTTTTGTTGTTCCCAATTGAGTGTGTCAATGAACGGCAACATATTCGTTAATTCAAGAATTCGGTTTTCTTTATAGTAATACAGTCGTAGTAACTGAAGCGAATATAAACGAATGAAGAGATTGTAAATTAAATTTGACCAAAGAAGAAGAAAGTTTTCTCAACCATTTATCAATCGTGGACAGTAATCACACATAGATCACGTACGACTAGTTTATAAATCTAGAAAAGGAAATAGAAGTAGAGGAAAAAGTGTATGACGGAAAACTTTTCTTCTATCTCTCTAAATTCTTTTTTGTCATCATCATTCAAATAAGGAAAAAAACATCTAAACAAGATATGATTGTGCATATATTGATAAAAAAAAAACTAAAAAATCAATTTGTGTCTTTGGCATTTTTCACTTTTTCTTTTTGTTTTCATAATCACATAAATATTGATTGGTGATGATGATAAGACAGTATACGTAGTGGACAAATAATTACTACAACTTTTGAGCACTACAAAACTGTGATATATCATGAATCTACTATGATGCTAATGTAAGTTGTTAATAATGATGATTAGAACGTTTATTATGGCTAATTAGCAACTTTTCATCCAAATTTATAGGCGTTTATCGTTTTTGTGTCGTGAAACATAAAAATTTCCATTTGCTAAGACAGATAATGATTAAGACATACTGTTTTTTAATCTGATCTCAGTGATACTGAGATTCTTGTTGTTAAGATCAAAAATACAATCGAATTTTTGACTATTCAGAATGAAAAGGCAAAAGTGTTAAAGTTGTCCGTGTTTGAGAAAGAGAGAGAGAGAGAAAGCGAGAGAGAGAGAGGGAGAAAGAAAATAAAGATAATATATCTTTGTTTATAGTTAAAACCTTTTTCTAGAACTGATATATACGTTATACGGGCTGACTAATAGAGCATTAGATTGTAACACATGAATCTTCGATAGTCTCAAGTACGATTTTATTTTATGGCATAAAATGACTTTTTTTCTTCTTTTTCTAGAACAAGAATATTTAATAACATATGATGAAGAAAAATGAATAAACATCTATGCTTTTACATGGACTATGAATAATTATCATCACGCTATATTGATTCAGCATATTATCATTCATATTTTAAAACATTTAAAACAATTTTTTGAAATTAGTTTTCAATTTCAATATTATTATTATTTACGTAAACAACAACAAATTATCTGTATGTTGAGTTATATACTAAATGTTCTAAAACGGACGACCTCTGTTCCATTGTTATTGGAACTAGTTCAGCAATTAACTAACGATTGTTTTGGCTGTTGTTTGTTTTTTTACCCATGTACAAAGTTTATCAAAGAAGATCTATCATTAATTATCTATTAATTTTATTTACAAGTTGGTATTTAATTAATACAAATATTGTCATGTGCTATTTTAATCGTCCATCAGGTACATTATTAGGACGATTGCTAATACTCCGTTATTGATTAAAATATGTGTCTATTTACTCTAGCCATATCACCAGTATCAGAAGCAAATATTGTACTTGGTGCATATTTTTCTGTTCATAATCCTCCGCCCACTGGAACGGGTGGACGTCTCAGGGAATGGTACGTATTGTTGTTATGAAAACTGTCCGTATTTCGGTAAAAGCTAGAAGTTTTCAATGCTTTAAAAACGAATTTTCTTGTGTTTAAAGCGGCGATATACGTGAAGATTATGGTATTCATCGAGTTGAAGGCACTTTTTGGATATTAGATCAAATTAATGCAAATCAGTCTATCCTGCCGAATATAACGCTTGGTTATCAAATTCGTGATTCATGTTGGTATGCACCTGGTATGTATCAGAAAAAATTGCATCTTCATCTAACTGTTGTTGCATTCTTGTAGTTGCATTGGAACAAACAATTGAGTTTATCGGTAACTCGGTACTAGCTGACAATGGTCAAGTAACAAAATCCCGTTTAGCAGCAATTATTGGACCGGGTGATAGTTCGATAACCATGCAAGTACATAACATATTGCAACTATTTGAAATGCCACAAATTGGTTATTCAGCAACAGCTAAACAATTGAGTAATAAAGAAAAATTCAAATATTTTATGAGAGTTATCGCATCTGATACTCAACAAGGTATGTGTGGATTGTAGTGACTGACAAAAAAGATTGTTTAAACTCATTTTTTTCTTTAATAGCACAAGCGATTGTTGATATAATAAGACAGTTTAAATGGAGTTATGTGGTCACTATCGGCACCGAAGGTAAATAATGCTGGCAATATGCTTAATTACTTAATTTAAATCTGTTTTTGGTATTCTTACAGGAGATTATGGTCGAGGAGGCGTTGAAGCTATTCGTCGATTATTACACAATGACGTTTGCATTGGAGCAGATATGACAATGGTATTTAATTAATTTGTATTATATTTAGCCACGTTCTCTAATTGATTAATGCTTGTTCTTGTTGTTTTAGCCTATCGGTGCAAATGTCACTGTTGCAAAACAATTAATCAAACAAATTGTTCGCAAAGCTCCACGAGCACAGGTTCTTGTGTGCTTTTGTCTCGATCATTCAATTCGCCCACTTCTTCAAGGATTAAAAGACTTGAATTACACACAACGTTTTGTAATATTAGGAAGGTACCCGTTATCCATTGCATCAGCTGGATTGCATAAAAATACTTGACCTTTCTCTCTTTTAGCGATGCATGGGCTGATAGGCTCAATGTTATTCCAAACAATACTGAATCAGTTGCTCTTGGTGCTATCACCATTAAAGCCCGTTCATTACGTGTTCCAGGATTTGAAAAATACTTCCGTTCACTTCATGTCCATACTAATAAACGAAATGTTTGGTTTCAAGAATATTGGCAGCAAAAATTTGACTGCAAATTTAAAGATTCGGATTCCTCAAAATTTAATAGATTTTGTCAACCTGGTATAAAATATGAACCTTTATTATTAGCTGAAAGTATTGTATACATGTTTTCTTCTATTATAGACCAAGAAAGTTTGGCCAAAGTGCCATATAATGAAGATCCAAAACTAGCGTTTGTTATTAATTCAATTTTAGCGGTTGTGCATGGTTTGGATAAAATGCATAAACAGGTGAATACTAAACAAAAATGGACTAGTATAAAATTAATGATACTTGTATTCGAACTTGTAAACGTTATATGAGAAGGGAAAGGTTAATTTTCTGCTACACATCTTCATGTCGATATGAATAAAAAGGCAAGAATAATAATAGAATTGGTTCAAATAAACCGTTCTTTTCTTTTCCACATCTTAGAAACCTTTTGTACCCGAACTCTACTCGAGTATATTCTAGTTCAATTTTTAGATACTCATACTCGGAAAACTGTGTACTGCCCGATCTCTGATATTCAGCAATACAAAATTAACGTATTTAGCATCATTCATATTTAGGTTTGTAATGGTACCAACGGTTTATGTAGAGCAATGGCACGCATGGATTCATCATTACTAATGCAATATCTACGGAGCAGTCGATTCATCGGAATAACAGGTATGTAAAGGTTAAATGAAATCGATTTCTCAACTTATTTCCTTTGTTTAGGCGAAGAAGTGTTTTTTGATGCGAACGGTGACGGTCCAGGCCGGTTAGGACAGTAATTCTCCTCACATGACATAGTACTATCGCGATTATTGTTTTAGATATGATATATTAAATTTACAAGGAACAGTTACCGGTAGTGATGTTAATCTTACATATGCGCATGTCGGTACTTGGAACACAGGTGTATTAGAACTCAATTCATCGTCAATGCATTTTTTTGCTGATCAACGACAATTGTCAACATTGAATGTTAGTCAATATTGTAGTGAAACATGTAGAAAAGGACATGTCAAGGTAATTAATTAATTAATATTATCCACCTTAAATTGGATGGCAAATCGACCTCTATGTTCTAAATAGAAATATACTGATGAAGAAAAATGCTGTTGGCAATGCTACCCATGTGGGGATGCGGATATTGCTTTGGATGAACTAACGTGCTTCCAGTGTGCAACAGGTTTTTGGCCAAATGCTGATAAGACTGGTTCGTTGTTTACAAAAAATTTCTTCTTTATCTATATGTTTCTTTTTTGTTTTTAAGCATGCGCATTACTTCCAATAAGTACAATAAATTTTCGACATCCACTATCAATAATAATTTGCTTCGTCGCTGCTATGGGAATAATGATTAGTTTTTTTGTTCTCTACATATTTGTACGATTTAACGCTACGCCTGTTGTGAAATCTACAACGCGTGAATTAAGTTATCTAATATTAACGGGAATTCTATTTTGTCATTTAACAGCCTTTGTTATTTTGCAAAAACCTAATTATGTCATTTGGTAAGTTCTAATAGCTATAGTATAAATTTATTTCATTGATTAAACTTCTTTTCTTTGCCTCCAGTGTATTAACTCGTCTATTACCCGGTATATCATTTTCAATGATTTACGGTTCATTAGTAACAAAAACAAATCGTATCGCACGTATATTGGCACGAAGTAAAAAGAAAATAATAACGAGTCGACTACGGTTTATGAGTGCGCGACATCAATTAGCCATTGCTTGTATCATATTAATAACAGAAATATGCATTGTTGGTAAGTGAAGTGATTCATTACTAGAAAAGTAACTCTTATCTTGTTCTATTTAGCTTATACTGTCTATAGAGATCCTCCTAAAGCCGTTCTTATTGATACCGGTGGTCGTTTACTCTTAACATGTAAAAAATCACTTCCTGGTATTGCAGCTCCATTGGGATTTGATGGACTATTAGTTTTTTTATGTACACTATATGCAGTAGGTTATGTTCTCTCTGTATAAGAATATTGAATAATTATCTGTAAAACTTTTAGATAAAGACAAGAAATTTACCGGAGAATTTCAATGAAGGTAAATATTTTCTTTTGCCGTATTAATTGATTAATTCTACTTATTACCGACAAAATTATCCTCATATTTCTTCTGTTTTAGCTAAATTTATTGGCTTTTCAATGTATACAACATGTGTCATTTGGATAGCATTTGCAGCTGTCTACTTTGCAATTGAAGCAAAAGTATTTTCATTGTGTGTCGCTACGACTTGCAGTGCCTATGTCGTGCTGATATTCTTATTTTTTCCAAAGCTATATTTGATCATCTTTAAACCTGAAAAAAATCAACGAAGGTAATAAAAAAGCGACTATATAATCTTAAGTTACAGGAATTGTTGTTCATCTTTCAGTGCATTTGCAACCAACAAAGATATTCGCTGTCATTTTGGCTCATCAACAACGTCGAAAAGTGATATGAGTTCTTATAGATATAGTGAAGGATCTAGTCTATTTCGAAAGTCGGTTTTGCATCGAATCCGTTTCGGAAATACATTACGACTGAAAGCTGTTTGTGCAAATTCAGCCGCATCTTCGTTAAGAACAAATGATATGCCCGGTAGTGATCGTCGTCCATCGCGTTCTTTGTCAGCCTATCCCGAACATTGGACGCATCATCGTTCACAATTAAATTCCCCACATCAAACATATAACCATGGTCAGACAACAGAAAATAGTACTGATGGTTTAAGTTGCAGAAGTGGTATTCTAAGTCAGCAAATGATTAATGACCTTACACCTGTTATTAAACTATCTGACGATTCTATTGAAAATCATATACCAGCGAGTGTTTCGAATAACACAACGAATAATCCCACGATCATCAAAACTAATTCAATTAATAAAATAATACATTTTCCTGAATGCGTTTATTCGACAAATCATCTTCCGAATCATAGTATAGTAACGACAACAACGACATCCTCGACAGCCACAACACTTTCAGAAGGCACACAACCAAATGTTCGTTTAAGAAAAAAGTCCATATCTGCGTATGATCTACCCGTACCATCGTCAATAAATGATCTGGTCTTCGAAGCCGAAAGTGAATCATCGAGTGCATGGACAGAGACTGCTGCCATTGAACATGAATGTTCTGAGAATGGACCATTGTTGATGTGCACGTGCCGCCTGTTATGGCAATTGGAGAAAGAAACAGATAGTATTGACAAGTTTAAAATGTTCTTTAAACGAGAAAATTATGATGTAACATGGGATTATGTACAAGGCAGTTCTGAAGTTTAAATGCTTTCTCTCCTTTTGTTGTTCTTTTTTTTTGTACATGTGTGTTGAACATTATTTTTCTAACACTGACCCACTTTTTTTTTATACATTAAATTGTCGATTTTTCACACAGAAAAAAACACTTTTTTTGTCTTCCGCTAGTCGGATAATAACATCATCTAGTCTTTTTTTTAGTCCCGTTCTAGAAAATTAATATGCATTACCAACTTCCTGTTCGTAAACGTCTCTCTGTCAAGCACTTACGAACCCTGTTATTTCTTTCAAAGAAAATTCTTTCATTTCGTTTATACGTGTTGCATTTTTCCAATTTACATCAGATAATAGCCTATTTGTAGCGTCTTAGAGGGGTCTAGACGCCCTGCCATCATTCGACAAAATAACATTGTTTTTAGGAAATACACAGTCATTCTCAAAAATAGTGGCTATGACTTATTATCTATTCTAAATAGGATATTGCGCGTTTCTACCCGGTCAGAACCTCACGATTTCACTCCCTTATTAAACCCGGTTTCATATGTGAGTACAGAAAATAAAGTTTTTTGCTGTTATATTTCATATAAATTTATTGTAGCAAATTTTGTTGTTTCTCAGCAGAAGAATTGATTTTACACATGATAAAAAGACAATGATTTTAATTAGACACACTAAAAGGCTTCTCTTAACTCAAATGATCTTTCCAAATAATTGTTTATTCTATAAAAACCGTATTCAAGAGCAAGATGGAAAATTCATAGTATTGTGAAAAAAGCGATCATCATGCGATACTTATAATCGCGCGATATAAATCGTCAAGAAGGATATCTTAGCATAGCAAATCTCGTATTATGATGTGACGAGGTCACCCTACTCGAACTTTGATCTATAGCTCTGTGATCACATGGCCTTCGAGATCTATTTATATGTCTATGTTTATGCATCGTATAAAGTTATTCCCATAGCACATTTTAGAATGTGGAAAATACTTGTCATTCTCAGACCAATCCACTGATATGCTGAACATTCTAATTTGAAACTTCTCTTGTCTACCGAGATTAGAGAAAGCGGAATAAAGTCAGGATAAAGTCTAGATACATTGTATTAGAAAAAAATATTTGAATAAAATTCCCTGATATTTTAGAGGAAATCGCAGAAACTGTTGTGTGTTTTAGAAGATTTTCTCGGTTTTGTTTTGTCTTTCTCTTGCCAGTAGAGATCCACACGAGTTAAGAAAACGTAACCCGAAACCGAACTGAAATTCAAAAAACAGTTCTAAGATCTGGTCGGATTGCAGATCTTTACCCGCCAGTTATCGCATGATTTTCCAAATTTTTTTAATGAATAATAACTCGCCTTGACACCACAAATTTAGAATTTTTGTCGAATTAACAAGATTTGAATGCGTGTTAAATTACTGTTCAAATTAAACGTCTAGTTCTGAATAGTTACTTTTTTTTACTTTTGTTTCTGCCAGAAAAATACATTGCACATGTATATTACAAACATGTTATATTAAAATATATCCTACAAAAACAGTAAAGCGAAGTATTCATTCACCTACAAACACGCACACTCTTTAACAACAATATTATTAACTGTTCGTAAATCGACACTATTATCAATATCTCTTAACATGAATGTATCAGAGTCAAATAGTGATGGTGCACAATTTGGCATTGGAATATTACTATTTTTATTACTAGCCAATGATTGAATAAAACCATGCAATGAATGTTGTAAACCAGGAAATGCACACGAACCATAACAATAGTAGAATGTATACTCTTTTGGATATATAATTATATGTGCAAGATTGATATCTTCGAAATTAATTTGAATTTTTCGTAATTTACACAGTGACTCTGATGGTATACGTTGAATTCGAGTTATTTGAAAAAGAGAAAATTGTGTTGTCGATGGATATGTTGTTGAACTTGATTGTATATTATAATTTGTTGATAAAATTGGAGTAACAATTAAATATGTATAAACATTTTCACATGTTCTCATTTCATTTGATATAAGAATCGTCTCAAAATATATCGATTCATTTGCAATAAATTTAAATTCAACATTTTTGAATATATTCGATAGATTAGCAAAATAAAATTTTCGAACAAAATCCCATTTTAATATAATACTGGTGTTTAATAAAACAGACGAGGATTGTGTTCGAAATAGAGTTCTTAATGGAATGGTTTGTGTATGATTTTGAGATTCATAATCGTCTTCTTCCTCCAATGTCAAATGATAAATAATTTGAATGTCTTCGATTGATCGAGAATTATATTTCGTCCAATCGAATAACCATTGAATAGTCGATGTTTTATGTGATATATTTTTTGTCGTAGAACAATTTGTCGATTTTAAACTAAACATACTATTTTCGTTAGTGTCCCTCTCACTACTACTAGTCAATGTTTCCAATTTAAGTTGGCGTTTCATTCTTGATTGTTTCGTTTTTCTATGATGAAATTTGGTATTATAATCTTGTTGATGTTGTTTCGTACTGTCAACGTTTTTAACACTACTGTTCATGACTAAGATAAAGAAAAACAAAAAAAAAACAAGAATTAATGAGGAGAAGATTTAGTTAATTCAAATCTAAAAACTCTTTTCAGCTATACAAGAAAAAAAAAGAAGTAGAACGGCAGAAATCATATAATCCGTGAATGAAAATAGAATGACATTTGGATACAATAGTGTCTACTAATTTAATAAATTACCTAGATTAAACACCGGTGTATAAGTATAAGAATATTGTTTCCGTCTATGTACATAATCATCTAATTCATGTGAAATATTAAAAGAATTTAAAATAGACTGTCTCAAAATATCGTTGTTATTGTTACTACTGCTATTATCTCTTTTTGTCATTTCTACCAAAGTTTTTTGGAGAATAATTGAATTGGTCTGAGAAAATACTGTTAATGCTGATAATAATAAAAATGTAAGTAATAGTGTAGAAAATAAGGTAAAATATTTATTAAATGTAGTATTTATAATAAAATAAAGTAGTTGTTCAGGCATTACAATACTGTCCCCACCGTATAATCTGCAAGTGTCAATTTTTTCTTTGATCGTCGTCATTGTTTTAATAATTGTAAATCGAATGGTATCAGAAAAAACATCATATTTAACGTTTAAAACTAAATCAACTACTATATATAGGGATCTTTTACTATATAATCGATTGATGTTTGTTTCATAATAGTAATAATAATAATAATAATAATAGTTACGATGAATAGGAATGCGGTAAATGTTGCCGTCTAACTGATCTATAGAAAAAACCTTCGATATGAAAATTAGTGAAGTTATTTTTGGGCTTTTAATTGCAATTACATAAAACAAATGCTGGCCGATAATCGAATGGATGTTGAATGTGAGAAATAATTGTGTACAACAATTAAGTTATAGTGAGTGATTGATACAATGATAAATTAATAAAAAATATTTTGCTAGAAAAATAAAAATGGTACTATTAAAAAGTTAAACATAAATCGTACTATCTTCAATCTCTCATGAACAGAATAAGAGAAAAAGTGTACGATTTTTGAGAAAATCTTTTCGTCTTCGCATTAAGGCAATGAGGTTAACATTCACTCACGCCATATTTGTCTGTTAACAAGAACAAGTTTTTCAATAGACAGCTCACTTTGCTTTTAAATTCTAATATCACATAACTGTCGGTTTCTTCTCGCTCAGAAATAAATTTTTAGACACTACGCACGTTTGACTGAAGAATGCTAAAAATGAAGTGAGAGAAGCATTTCCAAACAGTAGACTGAGATAGCGCAAATATTCCTCATGGATAAGAGCTGTCGTAAAACGTGCAATGAAAAGTATCAGACAATTATCACAATAAATAAAACAACGTAATTTGAACTTTATACTACTAATAGAAGACATTGGCAAGGTCAACCTTTTACTGAACGAATAGATTTTTGATTTCTTGTATTTTCTAACATTTGTCTTAAAGCTTAGATGATGAATCGGTCATTCGCCTACTCTCTAAACTATCAAAGAACATTGTTTTGCCTTCATCACAATTTTATCTTCAATATTCCAAGATTTTCTAGTTCTACGTACGACGTTTATAATACAATTGCAGCTTGTTTAAAGGTTCTTTTTGTGAATAACTTTTTACAAATAAACAGCAAAGAAGTCCAGAAATTATTGAATTACTAGTACTAGGTACATCTCTATTATTAGATGGGATTCATTACGATTACAAACCAATACTCATTAGATTATTCACAACACAGACATTGGCTTATTTTTCTACTTGTCAGAAAAAAAAATTGTATTAAGTCTGTACTCTAAATAGTTACCCAATCGCAGTTTAGAAGGTTTAGAGAGTTCCATATGTAACTCTCAGTTTAGAAAGTCCATATATAAATTAACACAATTATCCAATACAACATAGAACACTGAGGATTCTGTCTGTTTTAAAAATATCACTTAGTTACCATGAAGATAATATAAAAATTCAAGTACACTTTTGATACAGCAGTTTTGATACCGTGTTAGTAAAATAGTTCTACGCAAAAAACGATCAAAGACTTTAACTTTATTTTAGTGTCACTTGTGCAGAATTCACTTCTCTATCTTGTATAAAAAGTTGAGGTGGACTGTGAGTGTGAGAGCGTAAACATTGAGAGAAAATGGGTTTTCAGCACAGAGATAGTCCGCTTATTCTGTATTTTTGTCACTTTCTATACTTCTTCATTGGAAAATGAATGAACTTGACTTTGCTGAACCCTAAAAGCGATATTTCTAAAAACAATTTTTTTGTTAAAAACGTTTGACATATGATTCCGAATATGCCCTCATTTTCCAATGAAGAAGTATAGAAAGTGGCAAAAATACAGAATAAGCAGACGTCTGTGCTGAAAACCCATTTTCTCTCAATGTTTACGCTCTCACACTCACAGTCCACCTCAACTTTTTATACAAGATAGAGAATTGAATTCTGCACAAGTGACACTAAAATAAAGTTTAAGTCTTTGATCATTTTTTACATAAAACTATTTTACTAACACGGTATCAAAACTGCTGTGTCAGAAGTGTACCTTAATTCTTATATTAAAAAAAAGTGGTTCTCTGGGGACAATTAATTTTTTATTTCAGATGTCAGAGTTTGTAGTACGAAATTTAGGGATGTTTTTTTTGCATGTATGCTCTTGCGGTAAGCGTTGTTAATGGAACCATAGCATTTTTACTGACCTTGATGTTTTTGAAAAATCGTAAAAAGCTTTTATCTTTCATGTATTTTTTTCTAATCCCCTGCGTTCCACAACATAACGATGATAAATGTAGATGGACAATAATCACACCTATCTAATGGCACACAACATTTTTCGAAATAGGTTATCAAAAAAACATTTTTTATTGTATAGATATCCCATAGGTACCTATCAAACAAATCTTTTAGTTTTCTCGGGAATCATAGAAATGTGAGGCTTCAAAAATATATAGAAATGTGTGACTTCTAAAACTATCATTATAACTATTGATTTCATGGTAACTAAGTGATATTTTTAAAACCAATAGAATCCTTTATAAGGTTGTTTTTAAACGTACGTGAATTTTGTATGATATTATTAAAAAATCTTTTTCAAACCGTATCTTCTTTTTATTTTATTTCATTTTTCTTCTTATTCTTCTTACGTTTACACAAACAATTGTGTGTCATCAGGTGTAAACGTAGTATTCTTTAGTACAATTATTTTTGAGAAGAAAAAAGCGACGAGAAAAATAGAATCAACTATAACCGAAAATAGAAAACGAGCCAGAATATGATAAAGTAAAATTCGAAAGAACGTATACCAGAGTGAGTATATTCTCTAATATCAGTCATTGTTTTTCTTTTTCGTAGTACACCAAAAGTACATCGATGGTACTGGATATTCGTACAGGTTTTAAAAAGAAAAAGAAAAAAAATATGGTGATGATGATGCATCTATTCTAACGACCTGATGCTGGTATAACTTTTTATTTCTTCTTGTTCTAGTTATATTATTCTCATCGAGGTATTGTGTCTATTATAAATAATTATTGTACATGTCAAGATATGAAACAGTTATTTTTGTATAAATTTTAAGGTGCAGGAAATTCGAAAATCCAGAAGGTTTGTATTTTTGCATTTTTCTGTAAATGGTTGGGTAGAGCGCGTCGAGCTGATTCAGAAGATATGTGTTTTAACCCTTTGACGGGCGGTGGTCCATATATGGACCACTTTTTTTGTTTATTACGATAGAATTGTGCCCATAATAGCTAGAACAAATTTGAAAAAGGATTTGAACAGCTGAAAGAATTTCCGACC